TGCTAGCACACACACACACACACACACACACACACACACACACACACACACACACACACACACGCCTCCATGAGGACAGGAGCCCGTCCCTGATTAAGATTTAATTACTCTGCAGAGGCGGCATTGAATAATGCATCTTTAGTCAAAGTGCGTAAAGGAGTTGTATTTTTAGACATGTAAATTTGGGAAGATGCTTTAAAGGAGATATATGTGCATGAGAGAGCGCGTCAGTCACAGAGTCTGAAAGACTAAATGGAAATTGGTCCTGCAGCGACATGATATTAATATAATGCTCCAACTACTCAACTGATGACTCATCAAAAACTATTACACGTGGTGTGGCCTCAAGTAAAGCAGGAATATCGAGCTCACCTTACGGTTATTATAATTGACCTATAAACTATTCTAAAGACTAAACCAACGACAAACTAATGTCCATAAAGCCCATAACTGTGACGCTGCAGTAAAATGGTTTAATATCTTTAGCGTTGCTGGTGGCGTCCCAGAGTCCAAGGGGACATCAAACTACTTCTGTCCGACCAACAGTCAAAGAACTGAAAGATTTTAGATTTAAAATGGTATCAAATAGAGAAACGTCCTTACACGAGAGCAGCATGTGTCAAAATAATGACAGTAAAGTCATATCTGAAAAGGCGCTGGACATAAATAAGGGTGTTTTGTAGAACGGTGTAATCGTATATAACACACGTAACGTTTACTGACAACAGGGCCGGGGTCTCTCCTCTATTTTCAAAACAAGCGAGCTGCAGTCGGTCCTCTTCCAGTACAGCTGTGCTGCAGCCTCCAGTGTGAGCCAGACATGCTAATAATGAAACGGCCTAACGGACTACTAACACGATGAACCACGCCTGACTGGACATCCCGGCACGGCGGCCAAATGAAATAAGACAAGAGCATAAACAGCGAGAAAGCTCGGACAAAATAGAACGTTACAGCGGTTCATTAAGTCCTCGCTGTCGGAACAAGACTCAGGTTTCCTGCTGCTGTTTCCTCGTTTCCTGCGTTCACTTCCTCACACATCAGGTGGAATTCCCTTACAAATAAGCATTGACGTTTTAGTTATGTAATGTAGAAAGTTACTACATTTTGGATTATTTGAATAATACTTTCATATTTTAGGTTGTTTCCTTTCAAGAAATTTTTTTTTGTGGTTCCTCGTTTCCTTTGGTTGCCAATCGTTATTTTTGGAGATCCACTTCCTGTAAGAGGATTAGCATTGTCAGTACATAAATGTTCTTTTATAGAGGTAGAATTTTTTCACAGCATACATTTTGATAGGTCACAGCAAGAAGACGGTGTAAAATCCTTAAAAATAATAATAATAATCATAGCAAAACAGCATTTAAGTGCACCATTTATTGTTATGTCACAGATACTAATCTGTCAACATACTGGTAATTAGTATCATGGGCAAATACATCTCATAAGTTTATTTATTGTGCTACAATGAGTGATGAGGAGGCTTTCTAAGGGATTAATCATGACAGGCGGTGCATTAATCCTTGATGAAGGGTGTGATGCAGCCCTGACACGTTACCTTTGGAGGCCTACTGTTTAAATTTACTGCATCGTGGTGTAGAGAGCAGCAGGGATGACGTGTTCTCGTAGGCCATCCCTTAGTTAGAACTCAACTGGTCCTCTTGACAGAAAGCCAACCGGATTGTTATTGTAAAAGGCTAACGCTAGGCTACAAACACACTTTGTAAACACAGCGAGGCTGTAAAGGCCGACTAGTCAGCAGGATGACATTTTGTAGTCTCATTTAGCCTTTTGTTAGCAACCTCCTTTATTTTAAAGACGCGTAAAAGCTTCAAATTCACAAGGTGTACCGACATATTTTATATCGCAGAACAAAACATTAAAAACTTCTATCCACAGAGTGAAAACTCATTCAAAAGAATGCATCGACTTCGAGATGAGGGTGCAGAAATGCCGACTCATTTCCAGGTGTTAGGACTCTGCAGCCCTTTATGTGGGACATCAATGAGCCCCTTATTTTACAACACTCGGGTGTCCTTCAGACAGCATTTGAGAGGGAAGCGTAGACTTTTTGTGGCAATATTAGAAGCACATGGTCATATCATTTTGCTGAGAATTGTTTCAATTATAAGTTCTAAAATCATACATCAGTTATATTCTTATTGGCCCCCAGCTTGTGATACATCTCTGTAAATACTTCTCCAAGAAAACAGACTTCTTATACTTTTCTTTTTTTTTTTCTGGTGCTGCAAACTTCCCAGGACAGCGAGCTCACATCGGAATAAACATTGTTTTTTTTAGATCCATACCGCACACAGACGCCGTCTACTCGGGGTGAACACAGGAAACCTCAAATGATCACTTCCTCTCTTTAAGAATGGGCTGACATCACTTTTTAACAACGTGATCACATGACTGAGTGACACATTATTATGCAATGCTTGAAGCCCAGACTGGGAACACACTGGGAGTTGTCCTAACTCCTCCTGTAAGGTTGTGTGTTATTCCATTCACCAAAGTGCTGCTACGGATCTAAGAAATTACAGGAAAACGCATTTAAAGAAAAACATGCCACAGGTTTGCACCCCTCCAAAAAGGTCACTCTCTCCTCAATAATTAAAAAAAAGAAGAATCCTTTGACAAGACAGGTTGAAACGGCAACTCTGTAGAGATTTGAAGGAGGTAAAAATAAAGAGTAGCTGTCCTCCTGTTACAAAGAGCCGCTCTGCTTCACAGCAAGTGTCAAACGCTATTATCTTCTTCTCTCCCTTATGTTTTGATCTACATTTAACAACCACAAGAGGAAACCGGCTGTTGGGCTGCCATCGAGAAGAGACTTGTAATACTTTGTGAAAGCGTACAGTAACCTACATCAAGGAGGTCTCTACACGGGGAGCCTGTTGGATCAGTCCACTCACTCAACCCCCTGAGTTTGATCACTGATTGAGGGTGTAGTGAGATAAAGATTTAAGAAAATATATATATTAAATGTCATGTGCGTGTGTGTTTTACACCCAGCTTGGATGCCAAGAAAATGATGGGTGTCGTCTTAGCCTTTCCAGATGCTTAAATATCATCCGATCTGGCTTTCTCTTCAGAGAAGACAAATTCATTTTTTTTTTTTTTTTTTTTTTTTTATAAATTCCTCGCTGGTGATTACTATTCAAGGTGGCACTGGGGTGTGGGCCCATCTGGTCTTCATGAATCCACCTCCAGAGCTCCACTAAGAGAGGCCAATGACACACAATGATGAGGTAGATGCAAAAAAAAAAAAAATTAAAAAAAAAAAAAAAAAAAAAAATGATGGGACCACCAAACCAACTCTCAAGAGCTAAGATAGATGACCATTAGCTTCAATTATGCAACCATAAATTGGCACTGTGGCTGCTGCCTACAGGCCAAACACAGCCTCAAGATGGGTGATATTATTCACAGGTAGGTACACCCATGGAGGGGGGACTACTTTGTGTTATTAAACGTGGAAGGTTATTTCTGAACAGCTATAAAATCACCGGTTTAGTTTGTAACATTAGAGTTAGTTGTATTAGCTGGGGCTGCTAGCTGAATTTAACGTCCACACCGAAAAGGCCACAAATTAAGTTTCCAAAACAGTCATCACTAAGCCGGTGGAACAAAATGGTAAAAAAAAAAAAAAATGTAGAGAGTAAATAACACCACTGTATGTATGGCAGCTGGGATGTATCGAGCAGCTAGAAATGGCTCCAACGGTTCGGCGGGTAGTCGTGCGCAGAGTGACGGTTAGCGACGTGCTGCTCTGACGGCCACTCACACCGCCGCTGACTCGGTGGGCTTTAGTGGCTAACGGCCACTTTTTGACGGTTATTTGAAAAGCGTTCCTCCTCCGGTTAGCGCGAGCGCATTGCTCACAGTCACTGTGAGTACGTTACCTTCCGCCGCACTGCTGGCGTTTATAGTGAATCTTTATTAGCTCGTTGAAGCCGCGTTAACGTGTTGTGTAATTGAACGTAAAATAGTGTTACCGTAATAACGCCACCTTTCTCGGTGCTCCTCACCGCTTCGTTACGCTAGCTAAACAGACCGTAGAAGAAAAAAAAACATGCCGCACTGACTTGGGCTTAGTTCATGTAGCTAACACTTGCCGTTGGTTGCAATGGCGGGTTTGTAACGTTAAGAGCAACAACAGACGTGTGAAATGTCATGAAAACAGATTCAGTCACTCACCGGATGAATCCTCATCTTTACGTACAGTCCCGCGGAGCCCCTCTGTCAGTATCCGTCATACTTAATCCCCTTTTGGAAGGCTATTTTGGAGTATCCTCGTGTGGAACCTCCGCTGCCTTAACTCAAACGGCACAGGTCGGAAAGTACAGCCTGTAGTCTGCCGTAGTTGTTGCGACAACACTCGAGGATCCCTCCCACAAGGGTTAATATTGGGAAGAATAGAAGGAGAACCGACAAGACAACCAAAATGTGGATACACTGCTTCCGGTTATATATTTCAAAATAATATTCCTACCTGTAAATGTGTGGCTACACTAAGCATTGAACAGTGTTGGAAGACGTATTCGGGTATTTTACTTCAGTAAAAGTAATACTTCAATGTAAACTAACTATGTCAAAGTAAAAGCCCTGAGGTGCAAATACAAAATATACACACACATTGTACTATATATATATATATATATATCTATGATCCTTATATTTTTTGTATATATATATATATATATATATATACACAGTATATGCACACAAGCATGGAGTTGCTGAGTCTCCTGCACTAACCAGTAAAGGAGACATAGTGTATATACTACAATTTTATGGAAAACATATCAGAAAAAAATATCTTTATGATCAGAGTACTTTTTATGCATCTTAAAACATGTCTGGAGAAGTATACAAAAGTATTATTAGAAAAATCCACATCAAGCATAAGTAAAAACACAAATTCTGCAGCAGATTGGCCCCTCGGTGTTATATTTGTTTAATTATTGTATTTTCGTTACTGATGCATCAATGTGTACGCGCTATAAACTACCTACAATATCTCCCTCTAACATGTTCTGAAGTAAATTAGCATGAAACTAAAGTATAGTAGTCATTGCAATCATTCAATCACCAGCATATAAAGGCTTTATTTTGAATACATATCTAATCATCTCAACAAAAAACTTATTCTCCTGTCCTTTAGTTTTACACCCTTAATCTCAAAATTCTTAAAACAAAAAGTGCCTTTTTCTGAGCTCTTATTTTAAAGGCGACAACACACAGTTTCCGGTCCTGACCTCGCTGTCACTGTGAAACTTGACGCATCTCTACAGAGGTTGAGCTCCATCCAGCTCCTGTACAGTGTGGTCCAGCCGCCGCAGCAGCAGCAGAAGCAAGGACATTTTAGCTCAAACCGGGCTGGAGGTGGTGAGCCCCGGGGCGGGTCCGCGGGTCCGCAGCTACGCGCCACTCCTCCTCCACCACCACGGCAAGACACACTAGAGCCAAAATGGCCCGGTAACCTTGTAGGACCTCTCCCGCTGAGCAGAGCCCGATAGCAGCAGTTCATTGATCAGTACGATGCAGCAGAGGAGCGTCAGAGGGGATCAATGAAACGGGATGTGACAGAGTTGATGTTTAACCCCTCCTTATTTACATCCTCTAATTATTATAGTGTCGTTATTGATTCAGAATTATTTTACAAAATAGCAACAAAAAAAACTTACACCTAACGTAATGAAATAAATTTTCTGTCACACAACGAATAATTAAATCAAAGATCAAATACACTAAAACAGAAAGTTATCCATCTCCTTTGTAAGAAAAGTCTGGACTTTATTTCTGATGCGCTCTACTTAACTCTAGTGTTTCCACTTTACTTCCCACGTGTACTCCTTTACATGTCAGGAGGAGATGTTATACTTTTTAACCCCACTATGTTTATTTGACAGCTGTTGACAGTTGCGTTGCAGATTAAGATTTAATGAGTCAGAGGATTGATCAACACATTGAAGGTTGCAACTACCCAACAGTATAAGTATAATAATAAAATATAGTAGTTAAATAAGCCCCCTTTTGGACAGATGCCTAAAAACGCTGCTTACTTGTTAGTTCAGTAATAACAAAATTAAATTATAATACTTGTAGGAGGCATTACGCTGGTGAAAAAGTACTTCTTAATTTGTAAACTTTGGATAAGTACATTTCTGCTGAAAATACTGTACTTTTAAAGTCAACCTTTGACTCTTTATATTTACATATAGTATATTATTCCACCTTAACTGAATACTTCTACCACTGTTGATTGAGTCTCCTTGTTAGTTGTAGCAACACGACCATTGAGCAAATGTATCAAACCGATACAAAATTGAAGTAGTTTTGATAAAAGTGTAGTTTTACAATCTTTTTATTTACAACCCATAATATTGTTACGCAACAGCTATTGATTCAAGGAAGTGTAAAAAGAAGAGAGGTCTTTTTATAGGCCAAGCTATATCTATATCTATATCTATATCGATAGATAGATAGATAGATAGATAGATAGATAGATAGATAGATAGAT